TTGATGATCTTAGGACATTGATCATATTAGTTAATCTTTTTGATTAATTAGTTATATGATCAAAACCTAGAGAGTATAGATTGACCAAGAAGCAATTACATGATCCCTTAAGAATTTATTCAATTAGATGATTAAAAGTCCCTTAATCATTTAATTTAAATTAAATTGACACTAGGATTTGTGCCACGTATGATCTCTTAGGTCAAATACAAATCCCTCGTGATCAAAACCCTAGAAAATAGGTTAATATATGCATGACAACATTAGGCTTTATTGTCCATGTTAGTACCATATCTTAATCTTTATCTTTAACTTATCCAATTTAAGACTAATTTTCTTTTTGCAAATAACTAAAAACACTTAAAAAATACTATGTGAATTGCGCGCCACGAGCCTTAAGTAAATGGAGAAGAATGAGAGGGTGTATTCCTATCCTTATTATGAATATCTTTGGATACGGGACACATGACCTAGTTGTTCAAAGTATTCACATTCATTTATAGACTTTAGTGCAATTCAAATCAAGGTCATTTTCATAATAAAAGGAAGGAAAAGGAGGAGGATGTAGACTCTCTCTCCCTGAATGATTCAAAGATTTTTGTAGAACTCCTTGTCTGAATAATTGTCTTTAGACTAAAATTAATCACAACCAATATCAAAAACATTCCATAATCATTCTCTCTTGGTTCCAATACAACTCCTCTTATTTTTGACACACATACTCTTCCTTTATCCCATTTGTCTTGTTAATCTCCTAGTTTAGGAAAACTTTTTATTCTTCTTCCTATATGCCTTGTTAATCCCCTGGTTAAGGAAAACTCTTATTCTTCTTCCAATTTGCCTTGTTAATCTCATGGTTTAGGAAAACTTTTATTCTTTTCTCGTTTGCCTTATTAATCCCTAGGTCTAGGAAAACCTTTACAATTTTTTTGTCCTTAGTTCAGACACCACATTTGCAATTCTTTATCTTTGATTCAGACACCACTTTTACAATTTTTTGTCTTTGGTTTGGCTCAGACACCACATTTACAATTCTTTGTCCTTGGTTCAAACACTACCTTTACAATTCTTTGTCCTTGGTTCAGACAACACCTTTACAATTCTTTGTCCTTGGTTCAAACAACAATTTCTTTTCATAAAAGAATTGTTAAAATCCATTCCTTAGTAGTTAGACTAACAACTTAAAGCATCTGAAGCATGATCAAACAACTAATGCCAAAACACTTATAGGATACGATTATAACATCATTCCCTAAAATCAACCAACAAATACTTATTTTCTACTCCACGAACTATGGAGCTCTGGTTTTCTCATTGCAGTATGGGAATACGTGGGCACTGAATTTTGAAATCTTGTCGAGCACATTAAGTAAAAACCCTTAATTAAAACCCATCGCAAGTAACCTTTAGATAATAATACTCATTCATTCAAAGAACAATCAAAACGGTTCTTGTTGAGTACAGAGGATGTGAGGGATGATAATACCTTCCCTTTGCATAATCAACTTCCATCCTCTTTTTTTTTTCTTAGGGTTTTATTGATATTTTACCTTTCTCTTAGAATAAATAAAATTTAGTGGCGACTCTATTGCATTTCGAGCATGCGATGTACTCAGGTATTTTTTGTGCCATGACATGGGTGACTAATCGCTTGTCCCAAGCTCAGAAGGGGGCGGGCACATGGGTTCAGAAAGGGGGACCCAGTTCCCGAGAGAACTAATTATTGAGTCGGTATCACATGCATAGTGTCACGTTGCATCGTGAGTCACATTACATATATTTTCATATTATTGTGAATGGGTGTGAGATTGTGGTGATGTCGGTTATTTATTGAATGTATGATATGTCGTGTGTTTCTCTACCTTTGCATTCTTTACACTGTTTATGTTGAAATTATTTCTAACCCATTTTGCTTTATGTTATCCGCCATGGACATCTTGCATATAAACAGGAGTGAAGTTGTTGTTGTGTGTGAAAGATGGCATGTTGGAGCTATTCTTCGCTTTATTTATTGTTATCGTAATTTAGCGGTTCTAGTGTTATGATCTTGTAACATTGGGAATGAGGCATTTTTCTATGTTTTGATTTGATGATGAATTATGTGATTTAAAGTCTAATACATTGTTATGAATTTAATTTTGAAGTTTTTATGATATGAGTTTAAGATGGTGGTAATTAGTGATACGTTAAATTATCAATTAAATATTTTTATATAAGTTTCGAGGTTTAGGGTGTTACATTACTGGTATCATAGCAGGCCCGACCATGTTTTTGTGTTGTTATATGTTCTCTGGTATACGACATATATGTGAAACACTGTCAGTGTTTGTTTGTTTTTCTTACTGCTTACCAGCAAGAGTGGGATTAAAACAAGTGAGGGGAAGCTTATGCTTCTCTGAGATGTTTTAGGTGTGAAAGGTTGGTTCAGCGCGCCACTGATTGCATGAGTGTAGTTTTTATTGAGCCTGTGAAGTTTCATGAATCTGAGGATAGTACAAAGTCAAGTTTCATGACCACGAGACAGGTAGGAATGTCATTGCGAGGGAGTTGTCATACCCTAAATTTTGACCCCTAGATTCCATTATCATTCTAGGTGCATCAAACATATTTTATCTAACCCTAACCTCTTTCAAGTTATTCTTTGTTAAGATGCAGATAA